CTTCTAAAATCTCTGATTTATTGGTGTATAGGTTTGTGAATTAGTTGTTAATAATCTTTTTATTTTAGCAGTGTTCATTGTGATTTCACCTTTTTTCATTTCTAATATACTTCATTTCTAATTGCACTGATTTGGGTTTTTTCTTCTTGTTTTTTTTTTTGTTTGTTTGTTTGTTTGTTACATTGGCTAAGGGATTGTCTATTATGATTTTTTTCCTTGAAGAATCAAGTCACCAAGCACTCAATTTAATTTTGTATTTTTGTGTTAATTTCATTGCTCTCATCTTTATAACATACTTCTTTTGTTTGAGCTTTGGGTTTCTTTCTTTTACTTTTTCTTTCTTTTCTTTCTTTTTTTTTTTTTTTGCTTTTATTTTTGTACTGGGGATCGAACTTGGGACCTTGCATTTGTGAGGCAGGCAGCAGAACCAATGAGCTAAATCCCCCGCCCTTGGTTCTCTTTTTAAAATTAATATTATTGGCATATTTTAGGCATACAATATAATGACATTCGTCATTGGAAATTTGCACCTTTATGTAATCTATCTTGGTTCTTATTTTTTCCCCATTTTTCTGCCCTCCCTTCAACCCCTCCATATCTCCTTATTTACAAAGACTCTGTTTCCATTTTTTCTTTTCACATATTAAATTCATTCCCTTCTTTTTTCCCCAATCCCTCCTACTTCCCCTTTACCCTTTTCTTCCTATTTCACATTATCTATTATGCCTTTTTATCCTTATTTATACTTTCCATTTCTCACACCAGGGAAACTATTCAGTGTTTACATATGTCCTATTTATTTTACTTAAGAGTACCACCTCAATGTGCATCCATTTAGCTATGAATGTCTCTAATTTCTCATTCTTTATGACTCAATAGTACTCCATTTTATTTTAACTCCCCCCGCCGCACATATTTTATCCAGTCTCCAGTTGATGGGCAGTTGTGCTGTTTCCAACGGTTAGTTACTACAAACTGTGCTGCGGTGAACATGGGTGTACATATATCCCAGTGGTATGATTCTTTTAATTCTTTTGTGAGGATACCCAGTAGGGAAATAGCTGGGTCAAATGGAATCTCTAATCCTAGTTCTTTGAGGTATCTCCACACTGATTTCCACAGTGGTTGCACCAGTCTGCACTCCCACCAGCAGTACAGCAGGGTTCCTCTTTCCCCTCAGCCCCGCCAGCATTTGTTATTGGTCGATTTCATGATAGCAGCCATTCTTTCTGGGGTGAGGCGGAATCTGAGTGTTGTTTTCATTTGCGTCTCTCGAATGAGCAGTGATGTTAAACATGTTTTACATGTTTATTTGGCATTTCTACTTCTTTGAGAAATGTCTGTTCATTTCAGATGCCCATTTTTGGATTAGATCTTTAAATTTGGGAGGTCTGATTTTTTTAAGTTCTTTATATATTCTAGAGAGTAGATGTTCATCTGAGGAACAGCTGGTACAAATTTTTCCCCACTTTGTGGGTTGTCTCTTTACATTGTTGGTGGTTTCTCTTGCTGTGAAGAAGTGTTTTAATGAGAAGAGATTCCCGTTGTTGATTTTTTTGTGCTAGTTCGTGTGCAACTGAGGTTTTGTTCATAAAATCTTTTCCTATGACAACATCTTCAAGAGTTCTACCTTACCTCTCTTCCAGCAGGTTTAGTGTTTCTGTTTTAATATTTAAATCTTTATCCATTTTGATTTTAGTTTAGTGCATGGTGAGAGATATGTCTGCTTTTAATCTTTAGCAAGTTGAAACATAATTTTTCCAGCACCATTTATTAAAGAAGCTATCTTTCCTCCAGTTAGGGTGTTTGGCTCCTTTGTTGACAATGAAGTGGCTGAATGTGTCCAGAGTTGTTTCTGCATCTTCTAATCTGTTCCACTGGTCCTCAGGTCTGTTTCTTTGCCAGTACCATGCTGTTTTATCACAGTAGCTTTGTAGTATAGTTTCAAGTTGAGGATTGTGATTCCCTCTACTTTGTCTTTATTGCCTACAATTCTTTTTGCTATTCTAGGTCTCTTCTTGGTTCAACTGAATTTTTGGGTTATTTTCTCAATGTCTGTGAAGTATAATGTTAGAATTTCAATTGGGATTCTATTAAATCTATACAGCACTTTTGGAAGTATGGCCATTTTCACTATATTGGTTCTTCCTATGCAGGAGCAAGGGATGTCTTCATTTTCTGTTATCCTCTTGGATCTCTTTTATCAGAGTGCTATAGTTTTCAAAGTAGAGGTCTTTGATTTCTTCCTCCAGATTGATTCTTAGGTATTTCACTTTTTTGGATGCTATTGTGAAAGTTGTTTTTCCAGTTGCTCTTTCAGTGAGTCTGTTGTTCATGTACAGGAAGGCTATTGATTTTTGTGTGCTGACCTTGTATCCAGCTACTCTACTGAATTTGGTTATTAAGTCTAGAAGACTTTTGATGGAGTTCTCGGGTATGAGCCTTCGGTTTCCTTTTATGAAGATGTCAAACATATTGGACTAGAGCTTACCCTAGTGACTTAAAAAAAAACTTTGACCACCTTTGTAAAGATTCTGTTTCCTGCTAAGCTCACATTCTGAGGTGGTGAGGGGTAAGACTTCAACACAGTTTGGGGAGTGGGGAAAACATAATTGAGCCTATAATACAAATTTAAACAAAATGGAATTCATTGTAAAGACATGAGGTGATTTATTTAACTGAAAGAAGAAGAAAAGAATGAGGGCCTGAGGAAGAAGACCCCAGGTAACTCAAGGTGCAGGGAACAGCCCCAGTCCCCAGCCTTGTGAGAAGACTGCTGCTACAATTAAGGAACCTCCACTGGCTTTTCACCTTTGTGTCAGTCTGTATGATTTCAAGCCCAGAAGATAGTCTGCCTGGGTCAGGAGTTGGACAGAAAAGTCAGAGTGCCATCATTTCCTTTCCCAGCAATCATATAACAACAGAAAAGATAAATCAATCCCCAATGAATTTGGGATAACATTACCAAGAGAAAGGAGGAGGATGGTAAATGGAAAAAACATGTCCCTTGGCAGGAAAGGAGTAAAATTAAACTGAGAAAAATATCTTTTTGTCCACATTAAATTTGTCATTAGCTCTATGTTAAAGTAATTCTGTGATGATTATTAATGTCACTAATTAGAAAAACTAATAATAATTTGCCTTTCCTATACATCAAGAGTATGAAGGGAATTCTGGCTAATCATAATTCTTTCCATTACTGAGCTCTCTTTAGTTAGATTTTGTGACCATGTCAATTTTATAATGGAGAAACATGATCTCCCAAGCAAGCCCCTCTCTCATTCTCTGGTCTGTGGTTCTTGTGCTCTGCTCCAGAGCAGGATCCCCCCAGAAACTGGCCAGCTGCTCGAGGCTTATGGTGCCACGTGGTTGTCTGCCCCTCCGAGCCTTGGAGCGAAGGGTGTACTTCCTGCCTCCCACGCCCGAGGCACTCGGTTTTCAGGCTCCAACTCGGGCCTCCCCTTCTCATGCCACCCTCTCTCGATGCCCTTCCTACCACCTCTTCAGAGAATGCAGCCATTGTTATAATACTTATGCTTTGAATTAAGAAAAGAATAGAAGAGGTGGGGAAAATTAACAAAATGAGCTGCATAAAAGGAGGGGTGTAAGGGGGTGGCTTATTTTTAAAAAGTATAAAAATCTTAAAGAAGAGACTTAGCCTCTAGCTTGTCTTTTTTTACTTAGTTTTTGACATTTTTGAAGAGAAAGAGCTGATAGACCCGCTATAGCATTTTGCCTTTTGTCAAATCCCATGCCTTGCCAGGGCACAGAAAGGATAATCTCCAAAGCAACAAAAACGGACAGCAGCAGTCCAGGAGTTAAAAACTCAGCTATTTGTGGGGCACATTGTAGCTCTGCGAGGAAGAGGAAAGAACTAGTACCATGGCCAGAACACGGACTCACAAAGCATCAGAAATTAGTTCCATGGGGGAGATCAGGCCTGATACATAAGGTAGGGTGCTCTCAAACAATAGGTAGAAAATGATGGAGGCAGGAATATTTGGAGTTTTACATTCTTAGCAGTAGAGAAACAACTAAATGGTCTTTTCCAGAAGTAATGCATATGCATTCTGTTCTTGAGTCATCGGTCCAAACCAGCCCCTGGGCCCCACCCAATTTAAGAAGACCGGGAAGTACATGTACCTTACCTTTGGAAACTGGATAATATCATTGATTCCCATAGCTCAAGATGCAGACTCCAGATCACTCTAGAGGGACCTGATTCAGGAGATCTGCATTTTAAAGAAGCCTCCTCAAGTGCATCTGTGCCTCAGATGCTCAATGGGAAAGGGAAGGTGAAGGTGAATCCCTGGAGCACAATTTAAGGAGCACAACTGTAGAGTGATACCTCAGTACAGGAAGGTGATCAAGGTAAAGGGCACAGGCCTGGGGATTTAGCTCAGCTCAGTGGTGCCACTGCCTGCCTCACAAGCGCAAGGTCCAGAGTTCGATACCCAGTACCCGCCCCAAAAAAAGCGAGAAAGGGTACAAATCTGAGACCGGAAACAGCGTGGCACTTTAAATCATAATCACCTAGGCTACGAGCGCCCTCACACTGCAGCCCAGAGGCCTGGACAAAAGCTTCCTAACACCCAGGCTTGAAGGCCGCATAGTGTGACTGAGAAAAACAAGACCCTCGAGTGCGTCAGGCTTCACGGGGCGTTGAAGAGGAACGGGGAGCTAACTCCAGGAAGCAATTTTAGGTGTTATGTAAAGTATACTTTTATATTAACTGAAGTATAATCACCTTTTCTCTCATGTTCTTTTCTCTTCCTTTTCTTTCCCCCTTCTACCGCTTGCTTCCCCTTTTATTCCCTGTTATTCTCTCTTTTCTTCCTTGCTTTCATTCTCTGCTCCCCCCTCTGGCCTCCTCTGGACTTTTCAATATTTCCACTTCTCTGATGCCCTCTCCCGCTCCTCTTTCTCTCCTCCTATGCTCCCTTCCCTCTCCCTCCCACGTCTCCTTGCCCACGGACACACCCGCTCTGTTGCCTCTCCAGGTATTATGCCATCTGCTGCCAGCCTTTGGTTTACAGGAATAAGATGACTCCTCTGCGTATCGCATTAATGCTGGGAGGCTGCTGGGTCATCCCCATGTTCATCTCTTTTCTCCCTATAATGCAAGGCTGGAACAACATTGGCATAGTTGATCTGGTGAGTATCTGCACAGACCTTCTGCTTTACTGTCTAATCCACCTTGCTTGGGATCCTAAACAGCACATAATGCAAGGCTGGGCAAATGTTCTAAGAAAGATTCTGATAGTGGTCTGAGTGATAGATTTTTATAAAGCTAATGTTTCTGAGAGTCTACTAGTAGAGTCTCCTCTTGACCAAACGTAGGGTCCTCTGAATTATCTTTCCCAACTAGGCCTCCAAGTTGGGAACTTCCTATCCATATTCATATCAGTTTAGTTTAGCAAGACTCCCAGTGGTTTAGGCAGGATCCCCTACCCTCCCTGTCTGGTCAGGTACCTCACCTCTACCATGCCACAGGTGCCATCTAATCACTCTGACCTATCTTCAGGCAGAATTCTGGCCGGTTGGTTTAGCCAGTATCTCTCTTACCCCTAATTTTTCCTCAATAATTTTCTATCTACTGACCCTTACCCACTATGCTTCTTGATTATACATTTTCACATTCTTTTAATGTCTTTAGAGCTAAGCTCAATTGTTCTCCCCTACTGCAAACTCCATCACAGTAGTTCATCTAATGTATTGCAGTAGTACTGAATAAAGTCTGCCTTGTTGCTTTAACAAGTGTCATGAATAATTTTTTATAAACACCATTTTATGCCAGAAGGTACATTAAATTTTTTACAAATAAGTCTAATAATATCCTTTAGGGAACAGAATAATTATATCCCCATTTTACAGAGGAGAAAATCTAGACTGTCACAGGTAAGTAACACACCTAATACCACACAGCTTGCAAATAGCAGAGCAAGAATTCAAGGCTTAGCAGTCAGATTCCAGAGTGGAAGGTATGTGTCTCAAGACCCTGTCATCCCATCTCACTCTGAGAGTCTATAAAGTCTACTTTGGCCTCGAAAAATCATATCATCTGGGTAGAGGCTGCTAGAGAATGAAGGAAATCCTGGGCAGAAGGACAGAGGACTACAGCGTGAGCCCAGCTCTGTTACTATCCCATTTCCTGAAGGACTGTGATGAGAGAGGGTCAGTGGTCCCCAGAGGAAAACAGTTTCTGTTAAGGATGCATGAGACATGTGTGCCTGGCACATGTTTTTCCAACCCCTGAGAATTGGTTTTCCAGAGAATCAGAACCAACAGGGTGTGTGTGTGTGTGTGTGTGTGTAAAAGAGAAAAAGAGAGGCAGAGGCAGAGAGACAGAGACGAAGAGAGACTTATTATGAGGAAGAAGTTTGTTTGGTTACAGCGGTTGACAAGTCTCAATATCTACTTTCAGCAAGGTGGAAATCCAAGAGAGCCAATATTTCAGTTCAGGCCCAAATCAGTGTCCTGACATTCAAGAAACAAGGCAGCAGGAGCTTTCGCTTTCTGTTACTGTTTTTGTGAGACAGGATCAGCCTATGCAGTTCAGGCTGGCCTTGAACTCTCTGGGATCTGCAGGAGTTTTCTCTTATTCAGCCTTTTTGTTCTATTCAGGCCTTCGATGGATTGAATAAGACCCTGAACCAGAGAGGAAAATCTATTTTATTCAGTCTGCTGATTCAAATATTAATCTCATCCAAAGCTATTCTCACAGCCAGAATAATGTTTTACCAAATGTCTGAGTACTCCACAGCCCAGGAAAGGACAGTTAACCATCTTGTCCTGTCTAGATAACATTTAAGAGCCCTCCAGCTCTGATGTACCAAAATTATAAGGAAGATCAAAATCTATGATCTGGATTCCTTAGCAAAGATATATTTTTAAGGACATTTCTGGCACTCACTTAAAAAACAGCCCAGGGGTCCTGATAGTGCAGGACGGAGAATAGAGAGGAGAACCTGAGAACACAGAGCACCCTAACAAGACCCAAAGAGAGGGAGTGGTCGCTTCCCCTCTGCACCCCATTCCTACCCCTAACACTACCTTTTTGTTAGCCTGGGAAAGTCCTCTAAACCAAGGCGTGGGCCAGGGTGTTCATACGGCGTGTGCACATGGGAGTTCATCTCCCAGAGGCTGAAGAGTAAAGTACGCAGGGGAGGATGCAGGGAAAGTGGATCGTGTCTTAACCTCATCTCATTTGTTTTAGGCTGTCAGCCTTACCATTCTTGGGGCAAATGAAATCCAAACCTCCAACTAATGTTGTTTTCAATATAATTATAATAATAATAGTCAAGAGATGTTGGACAGTTACTGTGCATCAAGCTCCATGTTAATCACTATTCCCGTGAACCTCTTTTGGGCCTCACCACAACTTTATGAAGTAGACCCCATTACTGTCCTCATTTTATAAATCAGGAAACCAGTGGTCAGAGTGGTTAAATTACTCTCCAAATTCATTGGTTAAAAAGTAGTTAAATGTAAGTCCAGATTTACTGTACCCCAGAGTCCATGTTCTTAATTTTTCTGCAAAACTTTCTCCGTAGAGGATGAGACCTTTGGAAGTGTGCGCTTTTGTATGTGGGTAATTTTTCGTGATGTTCAGCACTGTTATCTTCTGATGTGTAGCCTCCAAGGGATATAAAAAGTTTCTGTTTACTCATGAGAGTGAGATAGAGACACCCCCATTTACTTCACGTAACTGTGGAAGGGGACGTTGCTTATTATTAATTTGCCTTACCTTCATCTCGAGTACACTGAGTCTTCTAGAGAGAAGCTAGTGTGACCCATAAAATCACATGCATATAACTGATTCTTTTTATTTGTGGCAATTACATTTTATGAAGCCACCACAGACACTGAATCAGCAAATGCTGCCTGTTTGTTCCCAGGGACATACAGGCAAGTTTCTGGTCACATTTTCACCTACCAGTCAATACATAACCGTATTGTATGTGTGTTTCTGTTTAAAGACCCTGATTTAATTTGTATTGTTAATTCCTTAGCAATGAACTGCTGGCCAAGGCAGTATAGTCCATTATTGAGTGAAGCTCGTCTGACACATGTGTATTTTGCTTAAGGTACTTCACAGCTTTCTTGCACTTAAGGAACACAGGACACCACTTTAGCACTATGTTTGGGCCATTTTAAACAGCGAAACCATTAACTAAAACCACAAAAATGTAAATTATGTGGCAACAAATGGCAAAAAGAACACTCATTGAAGTGAAACAAGAAGATAGCGCATTGCTTTGTTTGACTTTAGCTGAGAAACTACCTATTAGACAACTGAAATTCTTCACTGCTCTGTGCACATGTGTGCCTGTAAATAACTGTGGAATCTGCTACAAGTATTGCTTTTTGAGGTTGCCGCATAAATTTTAATGAGCAGATAAATTCATGGAATTTCATTTGCACATGGTATATCCAAATGGAATTTATGAATAATGATGATAAGTTCTATACCCATTTGCATAGATCTTAACACATGTACAAATATGAATAATGCTCAGGGTGAGGACTTACCCCAGGGATTTCATTAGCTCAGCTCAGTCAAATCACCTGTGCTTTTAAAGCTAAGCCTGAAGCAGGAAGGGTAGGGGAAAGGAAAGAAGGGAAAGGAAAAAATATGAGAAAAGGAAAAAATAGAAGCAAAGTCTTTGTAAATAGGGAAGGCTGGAGGGGGTGAAGGGAAGGCAGGGGTATGGGGAAAAAGATAAGAAACAAGATACATCATGTAAAGGTACAAGATCCCAATGATGGATGTAACTGTACTGCATACCTAAAAAGTACGAATAAACTCAATGAAAAAAAACAAATAAAGCTAAGCCTGCCAGAAATGCTCTATTTCATCTTCAAATTTTACAAGTAAGAAATCATACCAACTCACTGTAGGATTATGAACATACTATGAATTAAAATCACTAAAATTTGAGCTGCATGTTCATATGATAACTTTCAGACTATTTCCCAAACATGTTCCAAACCTAAACTCTGCTTAATGATGTCGTTTTTCATTTTCATTATAACTACCATTTATTAAATATTTTAGCCAGTATACTAAATTCTTTACATTTTAATTTCATCTAATCAATACAATACTGTTTAATATTTATTCCATAAATGAAATCTTAGGACTCCAGATTCTAAGCTCATAATAATTGCCCTGTTTATTCATTTATTCGTTTAAAAAGTGTTAATTGAAATGAACATCATGTTCTACAGGCTCCTGAGAAATCCATGATGAAAACATTCAAACTTGCATAGTACTTAAAAACTAGTAAAAAAATTACAATGTATGTAACGTGTTAAATTGTATTTAAGCCAAAAACCAAAAACAAGTAAAGAGATGATGAGTGATGAGAAGATGTTATTGTTTTACATGTGATTCTCACTCTTTAATAAGATATTGCCAAACCACTGCCTCACAGGAAGTGAGGAAATAAGACATGTGAGTATTTAGAGAAGAGTATTTTATCCCAAAATGACAATAAATGCAGAGGCCATCAGATGGACACATGGCCGAGAAGCTTCAGGAGGCAGTGATCAAGGAGAAGTATGGTGTGGGCGGTGATCCAAGAGACAACTAACGCTAGAATATAGTGTTTGCTCTCTATGAAGAGGGAGCGTCTTAGGATTTTGGACAGAGGAGTGACATCATCTGACTTGTGTTGTAAGAATCATTCTGACTGCTTTGTAGAGAATGGCTGTGGAGTGACAGGAAAGAGGGAAAAGGTTTGGGAAGGGACTGCAATAATCCCGGCGAGTGAGGATGGTAGCTTGGACTAAGATGATAGCAATTTGAGGCGGTGAGAAATTTTTAGATTTCATATCTTTTACTCCATAATTATTTATTGATCACCTACTGTTTGACAGAAGCCACTTCATTCATTTGAGATACGTTATTGAACAGATTAGTTAATGATCTATCTTCTTGTAAAGCTTATACTCTATCAGTAGTACACAAATAATAAATGATGACATAAAAATAAGAAAGTATCTGGAATCCTAGGAGATAATTGCTACAAAAAATGGTGGATGGAACAGCAGATGCCAATATTACATATAGCATTAGAGTAGGTTTTGTTGAGAAAGTGACATTGCAGCAAAAGCTTTAAGGAGGTGAGGAAATTGGACTGTGTATCCTG